CAAAGAATACAATTTTATTGATATTCATATAAAAAAATAACTAAAAAAACCATAGGTATGGTAGTGTACAGAAAATGCTAGTATAATTTAGTGAAAATGTTATGTGTTACGGTAATTTATTTTAGAGTTACACCAATTACCATAATCGATTTTGTCAAAAATGGTTTTGCGTAAGAATGCCCGTTTTCCTTAATTTTTTTTCTTGTTCTTCCCGATGCTTTTTAAATCTACTTGGAGTGTACTTTTAAGACCCCCCCCCCCCCAAGTACCAATGAGTCACAGATGACAGACTTAAAAAAAAAAATACAAATCACTGTAAAACGATCTCTCAGAATCTAAAATATAATAGTCTCATTTTCTGCAGATGACATGAAGTGAAATGTTTAGATTATTTAATTATTAATAATTAAAGGAACAATCAAATTTACTTTTATGACACGAATTGATAATTATAATAGATATTTATGAAGAATATTTTATATTATTTCCAAGCTGTTACCCGGGCCAAAGATTTCTATTTTTTTTTTTTTTTTTTTTTTTATTGAACTTAAGCCCGGCGACTAAGGCCATTAGCTGTTGTAGGGGTTATGAACTGTGGTAGAGGGGTAATGTTGGTATGGTAGGTTGTTTTTTACGATTGTTTACGGTTGTTACGGTAGGTAGCAAACACGTGTATGCGTGGCAAGGTTTTAACTACTATGAACCCCGGGTGGTCACCCATCCGGGAGCTAGTAGCTGTGGCCGTTACTTACTCCCAGTCGCATTCCGCGACTGGTAGCAGCCAACGCGCCACGCCAAGCCACGATTTCTATTTTTAATAAACATAATATTTGATATTTGTAAAAAAAAAAAAAAAAATGCTTATGCCATATTTTTTTTTGTAATCTGAAAAAAGCGTGGTGTAGCCTATAGCTATAGCTATACAAGTTGAAAACATAATATATAAACACCTCTCTCAACGAATCTATTGAAATAACTTTTATTGAAAACGGTCCAGTAGTTTTCGAGTCTGTTAACATAGGATCAACCAACCATCCATTTTTAATTGTATAAACCGTCATGGCCCTTGAAAAAATAAAATAATATAAAATATAGTGCTATATAGGTGTATCTTGGTTTTGATGTACCTCAGTACACGGGAAAATGTACCACATTTTGTAAACTAATTTGACCGAGATTGACAATTCACCTGCGGTGGGATGGATATTATAACACTTGATATAAATCGAAAGTGGTTCAAACTACACTCTAAATTTCCCTGATATTTCCGAGAACGATTTAAAATTTTCAAAAAATCAGTTAATTAGTTTTTGAGTACCAATATAACCTACAAACATATATTCAACTCTCATATTTCTTTTAAGATATATAATTTCTTTATTCGAAACCACAAACGTGACGATTTTATTAATGCCTTTACTTCATCTGCTCGAATAACTAATGGCAACAAATACTACTTTCTCCTATTTCTATTATTGTAATCTACATAAATAGAAATACACATCAATACAAATAATTGATGCTCATAGGTTAACTACAAGGCTTGTCAAGTTAATGATATTTTTTAACTCTGTTAACTTAACTTAACTTCAATTAATAATAAAAAAAATACATTTGTGAGGTATTATTTAATAAAATAAGTGATAATCACCATAATAGTAATCATCATTCATAGTTACATTACTATTCAAATAATCTATGATAATCGTTGTTGTAGGTACTAATAAAAAATAATTAATATCTCATGAGTAATGAATAGGTATTATGATTTATGAATATAATGCGTGGCATCGATGTCTTCATACTGGCGACTAATGTTACCCCTATATTAATACAATATTAGGTATATCGGTTTTATCTTTAAACATAAATACGAAGTTCTTTGTAAATATATCTTATTATTTTCTGATAATATTTTTTATATTCTGTGAACTTATAATAATTATTATAAACCGAAAATCCGTAATAATCAAAATATTTTTCTAAATAATAGGAATATTCAAAATTAGCTTAATTGGGAAAATAAAGAAAAATATGAGTTGATTTTAAGTTAATGTAGAGACAAATGAGTCAAGTTAAAGGTAAGTTAATTCAAATACCTACCGAACAAGTAAGTTAAGTTAATAAGTTAAGAAACTTAACTTCTAACTTATTAACTCGTTAATGCCCAGCCTTGGACTTTGGGTACCTAACTATACTTAGTTATGTTTGGGGCGGTGTAGGTCGATGCGCATAATCCATTTAACAAACTGATCCTTCAGGGTTCGAGATTCGTGTTGGACTGCCGCGATAAAGAATTGCAGGAGAAAATAAATATCAATAAATTAGACGTTCACTAAACAAACATAAAAACCACATAAGTGGGTAGCGCTCCGTAATTGTACACATTTGTATAAGTTGCTAGAGGTAAGTATTAACACCATTGGAGCAACTAGGGGGGGAACTTTGCCCCTGACTAAGATTTATCCCCCTCAAAAATATCCCTCATTCATTTAGATATAAACAATAAACCCCCTATGGGCTATTTTAAATAAATAGTTTTGTTAGCCCCTCAGAAGTTTAACCCTAGTTACGCCTATGATTAACACTGCAGGTCACACATTTGCTATATCGAAGATTTACCCATTGCGATTTCTCCTGAGATAATAAATATATCATAAATCTGTTTTTTTTTTATTAGACTCACATAGACAAGGACTACACATCTTTTATTTTTTAATTTAATTAAATATTTTTGTAACATTTTAAGATATAGATTTTATTAATTTTGACTTTTCAACATTTTATTTTCAATAATTTCATGATTTTTACTATTTTTTTTTAGTTTATAAGTAAAACTGCAAAAACTGGTTTTTGTCCGGGAGGTGATTCCTCCTCTACGGACTACAGCTAATGGGTTTACTCATGGGACATCCTGTATACCTATATATAATATCTATTCCAAATGTGTAATACGAGTCAAAGAGTCCAACTCGATGACATACGTCCCACATAGTTATAAGTTATAATACTAATACAGTAATACAGTAATACATTGGGCTAGGATTTCAATACATTTGCATTTTTTTCTGGAACGCTGAAGTAATCTAACAACAATCTTTTTTGAGCATAGTTTGAATTTTTCGAGATATTTGACATTTTAAGGTATTTTTAAATGTTTTGGGACATGATTTATTTTTAAAACTTATTTAAAGCAATATGACAAAAAAATCCAAATAAATCAATTGACAAATTTATCTCAACTTTAAGTGTCTCAAAGGCCAAATAGCCGACGTGGATATAACATAAAACTTTCATCAATTCGTTTTCTTAACATAGAATAAATATTTTTTTCGGTGATTGCAGATTGTCAGCCGTCTTTGGTCATGGTGCAAATTGCGTTTCATGTTATAGTGTTTTAAGATATTAAAAATGTGTTAGGTAACGAAAATATAGGTACTAGACAGTATTAAAATAAAAAAGTATGAATTCCAGTTTCTATTTCATGTTGAATTACACGGGTCTAATTCATTAAAATCTGCATTACAAATTTATACAAAAGTATAATATTTTTGAAAATGAAAAATCTAATTATAATTATAAAATGTTGTTAGGGAATTTTCATTACACTTTTTTTAGAATTGTTTGAACAGTTATTTTTTTTAAAAGCATTCTTAGGATAAAATATTATTACTTATAACGTATACGCGTATTGTCCAAACATTTATTTTACAAGAATGCGTGTTTATTTCGTATCTTTTATCACCTTTTGAAGAAGTAAAAATGATTCAATTTTCTTAATTAAGCATTTTTTTGGTAGGAAAGTGAATATGGAAAGGAAAGGAAAGAAAAAATATGTCCAGAAATTTTCAAAAACTTAGTTAAAAACAACAAAAAAACAATTAATAGACGAACATTTTTGGGCTAAACCAGATATCGACCACATATAACTGTTAATAAGAGTATATTTACTTACATTAAATTTTGATAAAATGTTTATATTACCATTTTCCATACATGATAACATTTTAAAAATATTTTGACTCTTTTTTATTTTATAGGCATGAACCATTTTCGAATTTTTTTAATTTTTTTTCAATTACCTATTATCGGTAAATTAATTTTGGCTCGGAAACTCAAAAATATATTGAAGATTCTTCATACGTTTATTGTTATGAGTATAAATAAAAAAAGTTAACCATAAATTCACAGTAATTTTTTATGAGTGCAAAAATTCGCCTAAATCACCAACATTTGAAATTTTAAATAGAGTTAGAAATGTAATACAAGATTCCTCATGCATTTTTCTATCTTAAATGAAAAAAAGGTGGGTTGGTGGGTGTCGCTCTGCTGTACAGTAGGTTACAAGTGGGTCACTGTAATGGATTTTGTTAAATTTGAATTCAATGACATAATATACAGAATAAGATAAACCGATTCTGATATAAATGGTATTCTATATACCTAACATCTAGGTATTTTATATAATTACGTTGGAAATTTTAACTGAATTAGTTAATAAGATAAAAACAAAAATAATTAACTAGTTAAGTTAAAAAGTTAGAAAAAATTAACTTTTTAACAAGTTAATGCCCACCTTTGCATTTTCAGTACTGGGTTAGAAACCTAACCTAACCAACAGTATATACTTTAACACTCACAAGAAGACCGCACTAGTACAGACTACAGAGTAGACAAAGTATAGAGTGAATACAATATAAGTCTATACTCTATACCAGCGGTTCTCAACCTTTTTATAGTCGCGTACCACTTACACAATTTGAAAATTTTTACGTACCACCTGACCATTTTTTTTTTGCTTATTAATAATGTATACGTTTATGTTATATGTATCTATAGAATTTTATTTCATTAGGAATTACAAAATGAGATAATATAAAATATAAAAATATATAATAAAAAATAAAGTATTTAATTGAGTAATGCACAGAAAGAAAATAACTTAAAAATATAAAAAAAATTTAATATGTAAAATTATTATAATTGTTATGGTTTACTTTTTATTTCAATGAAAAAAATGAAAAAAATTCAATGGGTTTATTTTCTGTTTCTGGATGCTTCGATAATTGGTGGCGCTTAAGTAGCGATGGCTTCATGCTTTGATTTGAAAGTGTTTCTTGACAAATTACACATTGAGGTAACGGAGTAGAATTTTCAGAACCAAATTTTACAACGAATCCAAATTGTAAGTAACTATCGTCATATTTACGATTCACCTGTGTTTTCTGTTTTTTAGTATTTGCGCTTTCGCTTTCTAAAAATCTTTTCATTTTACTAAATTTTATATCAAAAAAAAGTACGAAAAAACAACATAAAAATATAAAATTTTAATATAAAATACACTTGATGCAAACAACGCGTATGCCACTCGTGAATAAACCGAAGGAACTCACGAAACTAAGGTAAAAACACATAATTGTGAAATAAGAATACGCTTTGTCGGGCTTATCCGATAAAGCGTATCGATTTATATTATATTAAAGAGAATATCGTTATCTTAATTGTTACGATTACAAACGATCTCCACACCATCAAATAAACATTAAATAAACCAAATAATATTTAATGTTAATAATAATTCGTACCAATTTTTTTTATAAAGGAAGATTTTCTTCGCGTACCACCTATGAGCTCTCCGCGTACCACTAGTGGTACGCGTACCACAGGTTGAGAACCGCTGCTCTATACCTATTTCTACTGCGCAATTATCGGGGCATCATTAAATAATAATTATTATTATTATACTATGTGTTTGCTATTGGCACTTCAATTTAAAAGTTATCAATCACTCCAAAAAAATTTGGATATTTTATGTCCAAGATACGGAATATAATATAATAAATTCTTAGATTTTTTTCTAACACATAAGTAAATATCATGAAATAAAATATATTTACACGAAACCAATAATTTACCTAACCTAACCCAACTATAATTTTGTTTTGAGTTATTTTTCGTTTAATGATTTTCTATAAATGTGCAGTTTTCGTTAATTTTCGATTAATGATATTCTATAAATTACATTATGCGATATTATTTGTTTAATGATATATTATATATTTTGTTATTCGTTATGCTTTGTTTTGTGGTATTTAATTGTTTTTGATTATCGCTTTCCGTTATAATTACGTTTACAAATTTCAATCGTTGCTTGTAAAATATAACGTTATTATAACGTTTGCAAGCCCTGGAATGAATTAGTAATTTATATATTATAAAGTATTTACGTGGAACCTTGTTTTAAATTTACAATCCTTAGATATAAAAGTTTAAATTTTATAAATTTTGTTGAATTTGAACTTTAAATGCTTATAAGATAAAATTGTGACTATGGATTTTTAATATTTTTTAAATATTATGTAACAAAATATAAGTAGTTTGTATTTAATTTTCAGAGTTTTTTACCCAATAAATAAAATATTATTGGCATTCACGGAAATAAAAACTAAAAAAATTTGAAACAAATAAAAATTTTTTTAAAACTGTATCGTGTATAGAAAATACTAATAAAAACAACCAGTGTTGTAGTTACACCAAAATACAAAATCAATTTTATTGAATACCGATTTAGAGTATAAATGCCCGTTTTTCCTTAATTTTTGTTTTGTTTTTCCTGGCACTTTTGAAAACTATTTAGAATTTGAACCCCCTAAAGTACCAAGTAGATTCACTTTTATATCAGAAATTATACTGTTGAAGAAAATCTAAGTACTTTTACTGTCCTAAAAGGTTATGGCAGACACAAAAAAAATTTTTAAAAAACCACACATCATTGTAAAATCAATACATTCATCCCTCCGTTCAGAATCTTAAAAAGTTTCCCGAAAAGTCAGATTTTTTTTATGAGCATTTGTAGTTTTTTATGATCTTGGATATTTAATCGTAAAATAACGATTTATCCTCGAACGATTTTCTTATTTTATTACAGATTTTGCAAATACTTGACATTTTCACAAGATGTTTATTTTATTATTTTATATACAGGATAAAATTTTCAAAATATTTTGTCCCTTTTTTTAGTTATTTATAGTCATAAACAACTTTTCCCACCTATAAAGGTGTAAATGCTCCGAATAATATTTTGCTTCTGAATAGGAAATTAAAAATGTATATTGTCATTCAAAAGATTAATAACTGTAAAAAATATAACGAAAAAAATAGTAAAATATATATTTTTTTATTATTTTATTTTGTTGACTTGAAATTATGTAAAAGAATTGTTTTCAAAATAGTTATTATTTTTTGAAATAATATGAGGTTTTTACGTTAAATGGTTCATCCTGTATGCCATAGTTGTATAGGTATAAGGTATAAGTAAATTTATTTTGTTTTAAATTACTTATAAGTTATAAGAATTAGGTATACTTTGCATATATTTTTATTCATCGCTTTTTTTGTGAAATAAAAATAAATTACAGTATTTTCAAAATATATAGCCATAAAGGTAATCAATATATTTCTCTTAATAAAACATCAAACGATGATTTTCAAAATAATTTAATCTCAAAAATCGCTGTCTCTTTATGCTATTTTTAATATGAATTTAAAACAAATAGTTAAATTATGGCCGAGTATCTATTGAGTATATAGTGATAATTGATTTGAATATCAAGTAAATGTCCGATATCACTACTAAAAGAGTTAAACTTAACGTGATTACAATTTTATTGTTCAAATGTTTTCAGATACATTTTGTGACACGTTTTCTTAATTTGGTTTTAAATGTATATTTTTCACAAATTTGAATATATTCATATGCGATCCATTATTTATTATTACATTAATTAGTGATTTAAAATTATCAACAATGACCATGTTATTTAGAGGAATCCAGGAATGTCTCTTTATAATACCGGTATTATTATGTATTATGGGATACACCTTTATTATTATAATTCTGGTATGTACCTGTTGCAACTTACGAGATAAGAGAAAGGTCTGAACATACACAAATTAATGATGAAATATGTAGACATAAACACTTCAGTCCATAATATGGTTGAATATTATTCAGCTATCAGTCACCTTAAATTAATTTATTAATTATATTTATACGTTTATACGATAGAAAATTAAACTCAAAATTGGTTTTTAAAATAATTTTAAGAAATTTGTTAACATAGTTGGTGAAGTTTAATAGTGCCTACAAATAGAAATAAATTATCGATTGGATGAAGGCAAATCAGTTGGAAGTACTAATAGATAGGTACACTAATTTAGTAACAAAGTAAACTATATAAACTGTATTTATTACACATTGTAAAATTAAAAGTTATAACGATCATAATAATAATATAACAAAACATCGATGTATATAAATTATAAGTATATATAATATTTTAATATTACCTATGAATATTGATTATGATATAGTATTATATCTCGATTCAATTAAAATTGACTGAGTCAATTATCATATATGTATTCTTATATAAGTTAACGACTATACCATGACAAAATGGATTAAATAGTGAATAAACTTAAATTTATTTTGATATGGTCTATAAGTATAAATGTTAAGTTTTGTGTTGATGTTTCAAGTTTAAGCCTAACCAAATCATTCTCCTCTAAGATAAATAATATCGGCTTTAATATCTATTATTTTGTTGTAGAAACAGAGTCAGCTATTAAGTCAACGAATTCAGCCTTCATATTAATATTCTACTGCGTGGTTGTAGTGCTTGTTTGCAATTCAAACGTGCTTGTTTTCTTCGTCGATATAACCGCATAGTGTTCAAGCCCAATTTTCAATCGACTAGTTATCAAACTTCCAATACACCATCACTACAATACTAATATTGTTCACACCATAATATATATAGCTCTTTCGTAACAATCAAAAAAGGTATTTTGATCGTAGGAATGGAGCCCTCGTTGTGTAACGCCATCATAGAGGACTCTGAAACCGGCGAAAGGCTGTGCCCATCGCTCTGCTCAATTGTCTCTATCACCGTCACGCCTGAAAATAATAGCTTGCTAATCAGGCGTGGGAGGTCCATCCAAACAGAGTACAAGCTGGAAGAACTTGTCGGGCTCTACACGGACGATGCATATCCAGACCGGGTGGCTCTGAAATTCAGATCGGACAAGCACAACGTGATACTGCTGTGCAGCATTCACAATCACATTCAGAACATTTTGTCTTTCATCCACGAGTACATAGCCTTGAACGATCAGGACCATATTATTAACAACGGGTATAAGATAGACATAGGCTCGTTCTCATGTATGAAACGTTATACGTTAGAATTCAACTTTGACATTTTGTCAAACCTCGTATTAGAAAATGTCGGTGTGCGATGCTTAGTAGGGCTGGAGAATTTTCCACATCTCCGGAGTATCAGCTTGTCGGGCAGCGAACTGGGAAAGACACGGCTCGAAAAGGATACATTCTGGAACTGGATGTCGTTGAAAAACATCGGAAAATCATTAAAGATTCTGTTAATAGATAATGTTGATCTGAGGGAGGTACCGTTTGAAATGCAGAACCTGACCAAACTAGAAACTTTGTCTATGGCTCATAATAAACTGGTGAGTTTAATTTATTTTAATCTGTTAATACTTAATACTTAATTAATAGTTGTCATTTGTCAAATTCGTGTAGAAATAATTATTATACGCAAATAACCGTTAAACTGATGATATTTTATATGGTTTCTGAACATGTATAACAGAAAATTTATATCCATAAATACGAAGCATCCACTAACTATTATTACTCAATAATAATATATTTAGGTTTTGTAATAATTATCTTATTCCAATCTCAGTTTATGATACATTTTCTTTCTCTATACTGATAAAATAACCGTATTTAAATTTTAACAAAATATTTCTTATTGAATTTAATGAGGTACCGTAATCTATTCAATAACGAGTTATCCATGGACCAGGGCCCCATACGAACCTGTCCAGTGGGTTCCATTATATTTTCGAAGAAATATAACAATAATAATAATAATACTCAACAGAATGCAAGTCCGACCATGCAGAGCAACTTTCCTGGTTTTAAATATTTTGAATCTACATGAAAGATAAATATGGAACAGCATTAATAACGATGTAATTTTTAGAGAAAAGAGCATCGCACAAGACAAGTATCTAAGAGATAAAAATGAATGTTTTAAATTGTGTCTAATGGATGAAATAGCAGAGAAAAGTTGATAAATAAATTATAATAGTCACATAATTTTCCCAGCTAAGCTTCCAAAGTTTATGGTTGAATTTGCAGTCAAATAATATCAATATGCTAAGGAAATAATAGTAAGGAGATGAAAATAGTTAAGAGAAAAAAGTTAAGAGTTTCTTTTTAATATGATGGGGAACACTTGGAAAAAGCCACGTTACTGACTTATTTAAATACTAACTTGTGAATTAGAGCTTTTATGGTTGTTCCAAGAAAAATAATACCTACTGATGAAAGTTTCCAAAATACCGCTCCACCCAGCAGTGAAAGAAGATTTATAATATTAAGATAGATTGGAAGCAACTTGCCTTTGAGATTCAGGAACAAAATAAGCTGGTTTTGAAACAGACTCCTTAGTAAAAACCAGAATATTTGAGGGAAAATTATAACGAATGTGTTAACTGTTGATTAAAGAGAATGTTAGTTATATATAAATAGACCATGAATGTAACTCCATTGGAGTGTAGTTATGCAAGGAAGTTTGAAGCCACCAGCAATAAAGAAATTAACGCAAGAGTATTGTAATTTGTAATTCGTTTAAGAGTGTCATAGAGGGAAAAGACTGCTTTAAATATTAAAACAATTTTAAATTAATTACTGTAGATACTTTAATATTATTTAATTTATATCAAAGTCAAAATAATTAGCATTTCTTTATTGAAATATAATTGTTTTTATTCGTTTCAGGCGCATAGTATTTATAACAGTTATAATTATAATTTTATTAATAGTATAAAATACAATAAACAATACATAATAAGATAAAATAAAGTATAATGTCAATACACTAAATAAAATGTAATATAAAATACAAAAAGTTTAAAATAAAATATAGTAAGTGTAATATTTAGTAATGTCGATAGGTGTTTTATCTATGGATTTATGGACTTAAATTGTTTCGGCCCAAAAGCGGGCCACGTTAATTCCTCGGCTTGTTCCTTTTTGGATATCTCCTAGAGTGCAGGTTTTGGGGCAACCTGTGCAGGATATGATGTGTTGCATTGTCTGTTCTTCAACTCAGAGGCACAAAGTATCTGTACTCTCTAAAAGTCCTCATTTTATTAGGTTATCTTTCGTTCATCCTATTCCTGTCCTGAGTCGGTTTAGTGTGCTCCAAACCGGCCGTGCTTCATTTTGATCCGGAGGAAGTGACTCGTCTGGAACCTAGCCAGAGGGTACTGCTTATCTGATTTTTCTATCAGGTTCTTCTGTCTACTTCAGGGTGTGTCGACGAGATGAATTTTGTATGGTTCATGAAACTTTTTCTGGACTCGAGACTGGATTGTTGTTTAGATTCTCCGTAAATAAGGTTTTGTGGCCGTACTTCTTAAAACGTGAAGATTACAACCCCATGTTGAGCCGCTGAGCTTTCGCAGTATACCATTTCTTGTCATTATTTTTTTCTTGAAGTGGAATTTGTAGGTTAGTCTAGCGTTACTCCGAGATATTTTGGATTTTGTGTGTTGCTTATTTTTATCTGATCCCAATAGACGTTTACTGTTTAGAGTGCGGCTGGCACATCGATGCCTCAGGTAAAAAGCACAAACTTGTGTCTTCCTGGGTTGGGTATTGCACCTTTAATATTTCCCAAGGACGTCCAAAGTAGCCTCTAGTTTTTTCTCTTAATTTTCAAAATTTTCATGTTGTGCTACTATTGCTGTTTCATTTGCGTAAATGAAGTGTTTTACATCGCTATCTGTGGATATTGATTGGTCATTTATGTAAATGTTAAACATAGTAGGGGATAGCACACATCCTTGAGGGAGACCGTTTTTTGAGATTATCCAACTACTATTTTGCATATAGTTTCTTTAGCATTAGTCTGTGGTTTTATGTTTCGTGTTATACTTTTATCGGGTTTATCTTCCTGTTTGGATTTTTGAGTTTTAAGGTTCGATAATAGTTGTTGAGTGATTAGATCGGGAGTGACGTTCGCTAGTCCTTTCGCTTTACCAGGATAACTATTTAGTTAAGGTTCCACTGTGCTTTCATGAAATCGTATATCTTTTGGAATGGGACAATATTGGGTCTTACCTCAGCCTCAATCTGCCAAATTATAGGCCAGTGTTGTGTGCTTGGAATGGGGTCTCCCATATTTTTTGTACAGAGTTGACTGATGGATTCACTGCCAAATATATGGTGAGGGTTGTATCCTTTCTTCCAATGACCGTTATTGAAGGAAGAGGGTAGTCTGTTATCGTGGATCATGTCCTTTGCCTTGTGTCCAGATTTCTACTGCTTCACCATCGTCTTTTGTCTCTGTATAACCCTCAATTTAACCAGGGCTATATTACGATTGTGTTGTAGGCCAAATTCAGATTTGAGAATGGGAGATATTAATGGGAAATTTGATGGTTTATAGACCGATGAGACTGAAATATTCGGTAGATGCCCTGTGATGAATTCAATGTCGTGTTGTTCGTATATCTTGGCTGACTACATGAATATATTAGGTTTTATAAAAATAGAACTACCATATCTCCTATGATACCTTATCGCTACTAGCTTCATTCTGCATAGACTCGGTGTATTCATAGTCTGGTATCGATGATTCTCTTGTACGCATATAATATCGATGACATTAATTTGCAGATGGCAGATAAAATTTCTTCTTTGACTCCTGTGATACCTTCGATATTTATCGATACGATCGTCAATACAGGCCTTGAAAAGGCCCGTTTCAGGCGCGGGGTTTTAGACCTGCCAGACATTATAATTATACTGAGAGATATAGTTGCACCTGGAGTGGACTAATTAGCCGGTGTTCGAAGCCACCGTTACTAGTTGACACGCGAAAAGGTTTCTTCCTTATCCCCCATTGAAACATAATCAAAACTTTCAATTACTAGCTGATGGTATTAACAAAAAGAAGTGTGCAAAATATAATAATTTATTAAATGTTTTTAAATAAATAATAATAATATTGTTTTATTTTTAACTGCGTACTTAATTTATTTTGTGTACCTTAATATTTTTTAATAAGAAGTAATTAATGATTTAACTTAAGTCATTGTAGTATATTTCTTTTAATTGTACTTTAGTTGTCTAGTTAATGTCAATCATAATTATATAAACTGATCTGTAATCACTCTAAACTTTAACCAAATATCAATCTTCAGTTTTTAATAGTTAATATTAATCAATGAATCAGTATAAACAATATTTTGGATAAAATTATATTTGCATAGGTATAATTTCTTAAAAAAATATTTTGAGCATATTAAGTTTTAATTTTAATGTATTTTTTTAATGTACCTATATTATTTTAAGATGGTATAGTGAATACAAATCCAGATATTTATATAACGTTGAAGTAAACAAAAAATGGATTTTATCTTGGAAGTATTATTTCAATAAAAATTATCTTTTTTTTCCAGAAATGTTTGCCTCATTACTTTGGCGATCTGACCGCCATGAGCCGATTATTTATTAACAACAACAGTATATCATACTTTCCATTTGTGCTACAGGATAGGACGTTTATAGATATCAATATTGAAGATAATTTATTAAGATTACCGCGAAAGGGTGAGACACCTCCAGCTTATAGAGAAAAACCACGAGTAGAAAAAAGAGCTCCAGAAAAATTAGCACATTTAGCTCTGTTTTCGTTAATTAATAATAAAGTTCAATTTGAAAGAAAAGATATAAATCGTAAACTATGGAAGTACTTTAATAATATCAGTCGTTGTAGAGAATGTAATAAATGGATAGTAGTTTATCTAAAAAATGCATTTTATGAAATTGGTTTCTTGAATACAGCGAATTATCAAAGTGTTGCAAATATTATATTATATCAGTATGCTGAGTGTCTTTATCCTTGCAAGCATTAGTCACACAGATAAATGTAGGTATTTATGTTTAGATTGTAAGATTATGATATAACTTATATTACAAAATGAATTGTACCTATACTTAGAATTTATTTAACTTCGTTGTAAACAAAAACAAAGTATAACAAATAATTTAATTTACATATTTATTAAGTAAGCTAATCTTTGTAATTTAACAATGAAAAATTAAGCTCTACAATTAAACACAATAGTCAATATTTAATAATTATTAATAAATCCTAAAGCAATTTTTCTTTACTTTTTTAAAAACGTATAATTTTGGTGAATCAAATGTTATAGGTACTCTAATAACAAAAAATGTGTTAGTATCTGAACATTACTATTTTTCTTATTGCATTTCCCTTTAATTTATATTAAAATTATGCTTTACATCAAGGGACTTCAAATATTTTAAGCGCGGATCTCTTATTTTTTGTAAGCGGGTTGAAGGCCCCTACTTTATATTATATAAAAATAATAATTCAGCAAAATGTGTATATCTTTTTTACACAAGTTAAACCTAAATATATTTTTTAATATGTTGTTTTTTTTCCTATGTCTCAATGTCTGTGTGTTATAATTTTAAGGAATCATAATTTATTGTCCTAGTTATTTTATTATGTTAAGACAAGGTACATCATCTTATATTTTATACATATAACAAATATTTCTAATTATGCCCAATACCTACTTTATTAAATGGAAAAGCTACAAACTCAATAATAACAAACATTATGTGGAAAATAAACTATCACTTGTAAAAAATCTCTTGTTATTTTTGTATGTAGGTACCTACCTAATTTTATAAGGGGCTCACTAATATTTATGAATATTGAAATTAATTTAACCAGGTAGGTGCTACAACAAATTAGTTGTCTCCTAATCTAACCTAATCACAAGTGAGATCATTATAAATTATAATGCTTTTAATCTCAAATTCTGAAACATCTCCTTTGTCACGAGTATTTTCTATGGTCCTGCTCAATAATAGCTGCACCGATGACTGATTAAAGCTTAACAACGTCCCACTAATTGATTTATGTATATTTAGGTAAGTAACTCGTATTTGTTTTATGTACAATTACGAGGATACCAGATTCTTTTTGTTTATGGCCGATTAAAATCAAATATGTAGGTTTCATATCACTTATCTTTAGTTAACAAGGACCTATAATCAAAAACAATTTATATGAGTTTTTACTTTTATGTCTTAAAAACAACGTATATATAAGCAGTACCTACCCAAGTCATGAACTATTTTTAAACTATATAGAATTTTTTATGTACATAATTAATTTTGTTTTTCTTCAATGCTATTTAATAAAAATCTATATTTATAATTTTAATAATTTTGTAAATGTAAGTTGTCCAAATGATAATTTATTGGAGTGCTTTAACTTAGAATTAGTCTCATTAATAGGTATATATATAAGTATTTAAAATTTAGATTTCATTTTATTACTATAGGTATACTACAGCATAGTTATTAGTAAACGTATTTAGTTACAAGACTAACTTAGATACCCCAAGTCCCCCTCTAGTTACGCCTATGGACTGATCTTCATGGGATACACTCTATTGGTCCTGATGGCCTCTTTGTGGATTTCCTCTACCAACTACGGTATATTATTTCTTATCCACTATTGACCCTGTTTAGGCATTCCTAAGATAAAATAATTTTTCCTTCTATGTTTAAGATAAGTTACGTCAGACCGATTTTAAAAATTGCAACCAATCCTACATCCCTAAATATAGGCCACCATCAATTCAATCTCATATTTTTAAACATTTGAATCTCTGGTACTAAAATCAATTACTCCATCTGTCAACAAGGTCATCATGAAAGAGCAGCACAGGTTTCACCCTGGCCGCCTTACCACGTTGTTCTATGTATTATTCACCAATTTTGTTTTTAATGCATTCAAAAGCCACTCTCAATAGACGTGATATATACTGACTTTTAAAAAACTTTTGATATAGTTGATCACGCAATGCTCATAAAAATTCTCAAAGCGTCTGTTTTGGGTATTCCACTAATTTCTTGGTTTAAATCCTTCTTTTGGACAGATATCAATGGGTCAATTCGTTTGGTACTAGATCAACAGTTTTTCATAGGTCTTCAGGAGTTTTACAAGGAAGCCATTAATTGTCACCCATTCTATTCTCGTTATTCGTTGGTGGGGCTACCAACGCTTAGGAAACTAATCGCCTTATCTGTTTCGCTGATGATAAGATACTATTCATGCGCATCTTGAATCTGGGATCCCAATACGATTATAGTGGCTCTCTATAACTTGAATGAGTACAGAGACTTTTTCTTAGATTGGCTGGTTCCTTGCTTAAAGTCCCACATCCCCAACATGATTATACACCTGTAGCTTCAAGACTCAGTTTAGATTCCTTGGCCGATCACCGACATTCACTAAATCTCCAGTAAATCTCTTAACTAATATTCTTTCTGGTAAAATTGACTGACCTACCCTCCTATCTCTGATTAGTTTTAAGGTACCTCAGCGATCTGACAGGCATTCTATAACCTTTTCCATTCCAATATCTACTACAACATATATGTTGAGTGAATCTATTAGGCGTATAATGTTCATTTCCAATGGGGACCCCTTCTTATCGTTTTTAAATTGTTAATTAAAATTGTTGTATATTTACTATATTGTAAATGTAACATTGTTAATGTATATTATATATGTGCTACGCACCATTGTAAAAGCATTAAGCCCGTAAATCTTAATAAATAAATAAATATTTCTAAAAAAATATAAATGCCATGTTTCTACTAATTATAGTAGTAATATAATATTTAACCAAGCATTGAGCTATACCTTTTAGCTACATATAGGGATTGAAAAAAATAAGATATTAACACCCTCCAAGTCTGAAGTATATATTGCTAATTGCTATAACTTTTTATTGGAAACATTGCATTAGCTTTTGATTCTATTAACTATTCAGATTAACTGACATAGGTTAAACATTTAGTGACCAAATATCAAGGTTATCATAAGTTAAAATTATTATATCTGATTAATTAAATTATATATAATCTTTAGCAACCATATATATAGAAAAAAAATACTAATTTCTACTCATTTGTTAATATTACTTTTCCAAATATCAGATATCTTTTTGCGACTGTATAATATTTCATCCAAGTTGAGAACATACCAGTGTATTTATCTTTATTATGTGAAATATGTCATATTCATTACTCAATCACTCCTGTATTATGATAATATAGTATACATATTAACAATTATATCAATTTGTAAAAATCAATACTTTATACATATTATTCTTTATGTTTTATATTTAAGATATGTGTTGTATAATTTGTTAATTTATTTAAGTTCATAAGTTGTTAATTATACATATGTATTTATTTAAAATAATTTAAGCTTATAGGTATATATCAGAATGATGTGTTATATCTTATAAGTTACAAAATAATTATTTAATACATAGTGTATCTTATTATTAAATATATATTAAACTATTATATTAAACACATAGGTAGTTATTATACAGTTTAAAACAAAATAAATTAACAATGTCTAGCTATTTATTTAAAAAATAACTCATAAATACAGTATGTAAACGCTAATTGACAACACTCAATATCTTTGAGTAAAGCCCTGCAATTTGAATTCTGATTTCTTGTTGGTTATTATATCGACATAAAAATACACCTTTTTAGTATTTGAATTTTCTAACTTAATTAGACTTGTGCATGGGCAGTACAAATTTTTTTTTCTTAAATGGCAACCACCTATTTTAACCGCTAATAATTTTTTGCCTAATTTTTAGTTTAGTTCAACCAACTTGCTAAGTCCAAAATTGAAAAACTTAGAGTAAATCAACAAAAATACTGCAAAATACCCGGAATTTTTAGATTTTTTACTGTAATTCTGAAAATAATTTATCTAGAATTGTTTAGGCTTAACATTTTCACCCCTAATTATTTAGGTAATACTTAGGGTGATACATATATAAATAGATATATTGAAATTTATTAATAATTGTTCTTTAGTCAGTTGATTGCATGTTGCTGTTATTATATCGTTTAAATTTCGAAGATTTATAGGAGGGTCGGCATACAATGAACTATTTATTAATAAATTCCAATAGATACATGTACCTATTAATGTTATATAATAAAAAACATATTTATTTATGTGTCACATAAATATCACCTAAATAATTATTCGTGAAAATGTTAAGCCTAAATAATCTTAGGATAATTATTTTCAGAATTACAGTAAAAAATCTAAAAATTTCGAGTATTTTTGTTGATTTTCTGTAAATTGGTCAATTTTGGACATAGAAAGTTGGTGAAACCGCCAAAAAAATAACTAGTGGTTAAAATAGGTGGTTGCCATTTAAGAAAAAAAAGTTGTACCTACTAGTCTAATTAGGTTAAAAAAATTCGAATGCTATAAAAAGGTGTATTTTTATGTCATGAAACCAACAAGAAAACAGAATTCAAATTGCAGAGCTCTACGCAAAGATATTGAGTGTTCTCAACTAGCGTTTACACACTGTATAAAGATACATAATATGTACTTGGATTCTGGACTTAAAGCTAAGTGTACGGGCATGGAACGGACAATAATATACCGTGATGCCAGGTCACCAGAATACTTTTTCGATAGAAGTGAACGGGTTCGCCAAGCAAGACTATCGAATGCTAGTGATTGGTGGCTGGTGTGTGTGTTTGTGTGTGTGTGTGTGTGTGTGTGTGTGAGTGTGTGTGTGTGTGCGGGCAATAATGACGGAAAGGTAACGCAAAAATGGTAACTAAATTATGTCGTATCACCCGTATTGGATAATACGTGGTAAACCTACTATACGCCTCACCCTCGTATTCTCTAGCTAATGACACTCTCTAAAATTAATTAGAATGGCACTGTTAACTTGGAGGTACGATGGTGTGCGTTTGTCAATCCTAAGTTCTTTCCAATCTAGTAAAATGACTCAAAGATTACATA